CTCGGCCGAGAGGAGGGAATTTGTGAAGAAGGAGGTCGCCATGCTCCTCTCTATCAAGCACATCAAGGAGGTAAAGTACCCCTCATGGTTGGCAAATGTGGTCCTTGCACAAAAACCGCCCTCATTCCGTATGTGCGTGGACTACACAGATCTCAACAAGGCGTGTCCCATGGATCCCTTCCCTTTGCCGAATATTGATCAACTCGTAGATGAAACCGCGGGGTGTGAAATTATGTCATTCCTCGACGCATTCCGCGGATATCATCAAATATTTATGCATGAGGAAGACGCTGAAAAAACAGCCTTCATGACTCCCGAGGGCATCTTCTGCTACCTTGTCATGGCCTTCGGCCTAAAGAACTCAGGCGCCACCTACACTCGGATGGTGGCCAGGGTATTTCAAGCTGTCCTAGGGCGCACCATGGAGGCATATGTTGACGACATGATCGTAAAAAGCAAGCAATCAGCAAGCCATGTTGACGACCTGAGGGAGATCTTCGCCATCATGCAGAAATTCAACCTTCGGCTAAACCCGAAGAAGTGTACATTCGGCATTCAAGGGGGCAAATTCTTGGGCTAAATGGTGAGCCAAAGGGGTATCAAGGCCAACCCCGAGAAAATCCAGGCCATCATCAACATGGAGCCCCCACGCAACGTAAAGGAGGTCCAACGATTGACGGGCCGCATGGCAGCCCTCAATCGCTTCTTATCAAAATCGGCGGAGAAGTCCTTACCTTTCTTCCAGATCATGAGAAAAACCACCGGTTTTCAGTGGACTTCAGAGTGTCAGGGGGCCTTCGAGGAACTGAAACGGTACTTATCTTCACCCCCTGTGCTCTCTAAACCCAAGGTGGGGGAGATCCTATACCTTTACCTGGGTGTTAGCCCGGCAGCCATCAGCTCAGTACTCATCCGGGCGGAGGATGGCATCCAACATGCCATCTTCTATGTTAGCAAGACCCTCAGGGAAGCAGAACTCCGGTACTCCCCTGTGGAAAAAACGGTGTTGGCTATCGTGTGGACCGTCAAGAAGTTGGGCCATTACTTCCAAGCTCACCCGGTCCAGGTCCTCACTCACCAACCCCTCGGCGCTTTGATGAGAAGCCCCACCAGCTACTCCCGAATGGTAAAATGGGCTGTCTTCTTGAGCCAATACAACATCGACATTCGTCCTAGGCCCGCCATCAAGGGCCAAGCCCTAGCAGACTTCGTGACGGAATGTACGGAAAGATCAGCCACGGACGAGGAGCCCTCGGCCCCTTCGGATGATTGGTGGACCCTCTACACCCACGGCTCCTCCGTCGTCAAGGCATGTGGAGGAGGGGTGGTTCTCATCTCACCCGAAGGCTTCCGGGCCTATTATGCAGTCCGCTTCTCCTTCAAAGTCTCTAACAAAGAAGCCGAATACGAGGCCCTCCTCTGTGGCCTTCGGCTGGCAGCTAACATGAAGGCCCGACAGATCCACGTCAAATGCGACTCCAAATTAGTTTTCGGCCAAATTTCCGGGGAGTACGAAGCCAAGGAAGGGAGAATGAAGCAGTACAAGGAAGCGGCCAAGGAGTTGCTTAAGGTATTTGAGGCACACTCTCTTACTCAAATACCGAGGGCTCAAAACTCCGAGGCCGACATTTTATCCAAGCTCTCGGCCGAATCACCTGAGCACATCTCAAAGATTGCCAAAGTGGAAGAGCTCAACCTTCTCTAGCATACATGCTAGCCCCGTCATGAACATACAACAAAGGCAGGACGACTGGATCTCAGACATTGTCGCCTTCATCACCACAGGGCAACTGCCCGAGGATGAGGCCCGCGCCAAGCTAGCAAAGCTGAGGGCTCCCAGCTACGCTATCGAAGACGGAAGGCTTTACAAAAGGTCCTACAACGGGACATTACTTCGGTGCCTTCATCAAGATGAAGCCGAAGTGGCGATGGAGGAAGTGCACAGTGGCACTTGTTCAGCTCACCAGGGGCCCTTCTCCATGTCCCGAAGGCTAATAATCCAGGGCTACTTCTGGCCTACGATGGCCCGAGATTGTGCAGATCTTGCCCGAAGGTGTTCCGCACGGCAACACTTCCAGAAAGCCCCCGGCAGGCCAGCGGTCAACTATGCCCCCATCAGCACATCCATACCCTTCGCTCGATGGGGCATAGACCTTGTGGGCCCTCTGTCGAGGGGTACCTCCAACAACAGGTACATCATCGTCGCCATCGATTACTTCACCAAATGGGTGGAAGCTGAGCCCCTCGCCAGCATTACTGAGGCCAGGTGCCGTCATTTTGTTCTCAAAAACATCCTCACAAGGTTTGGCGTCCCCCAGCAAATCATCTCCGACAACGGGACTCAGTTCGAGGCAGCCCCCTTCTGTGCCCTCATGGAGGCATGGGGCATCAAACACACCTTCTCATCTGTTGCCTACCCTCAGGGCAACGGTCAAGTGGAGAACGCCAACAGGACCTTGCTCGAAGGCCTAAAGAAGAAACTGGAGGCCGAAGGGGGTGGCTGGGTAGAAGAGCTCCACAACATCTTATGGGCTTACCGTACCACCCCTCGGCGGGCAACTGGCGAGACACCCTTCTCCCTTTGCTACGGATTTGAAACTAAGGCCCCCACCGAGGTAACTCTTCCGTCCCGAAGGGTCACACAATATGATCCAGAGGCCAACGACATCAATATGGCCCTCGACCTCCACCTTATTTCAGAACGCCGAGAGCAAGCCTTCATGTGCGTAGAAAACTATCGAAGGCAAGTGAAGAGTTACATTGACGCCAAAGTCCGCTCCCGGGAATTCCAAGTGGGGGACTATGTCCTCCGAAGAAGGGAAGCTAGCCAACCAACCGAGGACGGGAAGATGGCACCAAAGTTCGAAAGCCCCTACATCGTGGCGGCCATCATCAAACCAGGAACTTACAAACTAAAACGCCCCAATGGGACTGAGGTCCCTAGACATTGGAATGTACATCACTTAGTTAAATTTTATCAATAACATCAGAGCGGCCAAGCCCTCATAACTAGTAAATGTATTATTTTGCGGCCCAAGGCCTAAAAATTTTGAAGAATGAAGGAATATTGAAGACACCAAGAACATGGAACAAGACTCTTATGAGCGGCCAAGCCCTCATATCGACCCCTGGCCCAAGGCCAATTACAAGGAAGAACCCTCGGCACCAAGTGCCGAGGGTAGACTATACTGCCATCCACAGCGTGGAAAAGAACACCAAGTGTTTCTACAGGAGATCCCTCGGCATCCAGTGCCGGGGGATACACCGTTGTCAACTTTCAACAAACGGAAGAAAACACCAAGTGTTTTCACAGAAGACCCCTCGGTACCAAGTACCGAGGGTAGACAACACAATCACCTACGACAAATAAAGGAAAAACACCAAGTGTTTCCACAGAAGACCCCTCGGTACCAAGTGCCGGGGGCCGTACATCGGAACAAACACCAACTGTTGTTTCTAAAGTCGTACCCCTCGAGGACGCCTATACCGAAGGCGCCACCTATCGGTGCCGGTAGCACGTAGTGCCCCCGGCCATTTGCAACCAGTGTGCAAATGAAAACCCTTCCCTGAAACGCTTTCCGCGTCACTACCCCAAGGGTATGACAGGCACGTAATATGCCCAGGATTCGACTTTCAAAAACGGAACGCTTTCCGCGCCATTTCCCCAAGGGATTGGCAGGCATCTAAAATGTCCAGGATTCGACTTCCAAATCGAAACGCTCCCCGCGCCACCACCCCAAGGGTGTGGCAGGCCACGGACTATGTCTGGCACCGAGGGGACGACTTTCAAAACTGAGGCGCTTTTCGTGCCATCTCCCAAGGGCAGGCAGGCTACAGACCATGTCTTGTGCCCAGGAAACGACCCTCGATCCCCTCGGAACTCGGAAGGTCAACCCGAGGGGGGAGCTAATGGTGTATTCTGTTACCTCCCGATAGGCCAAGCCTTACCAAGAAACCAAGTTTCTTGAAGCCTTCCCTTCACTACAAAAAAAAGGGTGGTGAAGGGGAGTAGACTCAGCGAGAAATCAATGAGTACACCACTCCAACAAATTCACAGGAACATACCGAGGGCTCCCCATGGGAACACCTTTCGGTACCCGGAAGCTCCTAATTACCAAAGATACTATTCAACAAACACCATCAACAAATGGCTAAGTCCACTCCTTGGTTGCCTCCGGCTTTATCAAAACCGAAGGCTCAAATCCTACAAAACATGACAGGCTCACTCAACAACAACTCAAAACGTCCCCGAAGGCTACTATATAACAAAGCTATCAGATGTTGGCCAAATCAAAGCAAGAATCACCTCCGGCACCTCACTAGATGCCGAGGGGATACACCCAGACAATTCCCGAGGGAGTCTGTCTTTTTATGCTAGACTTGGATTACAAACTCTCCTAAATCAACATTGGGGGGACATAATAATTAGCCGAAGGCTTTTGTTGCCACAGGCCAACATTGCAAGACCAAGGAAACTGTTCTAGGCCCGCAAAGCATACTGCCGAAGGGTCCCCGACCGAAGGCCAGCAACAGGAAATACTTAGAAAAATTTTCTAAGTCCTAGGTACTTTGCCCTCAGTCGAGTCACCGGTCAACCGAAGCCAGAGGGGCCACACGGTCGAAGGCTTGGTGAAACTACACTTGGAAACATTTTCTAATTCCTGAGTATTTTGGGCCCTCGGTTATATTTCCATGCAGCGAAGGGTACCCCCGCACCGAAGGCTAGACGGTATTCAAACACTTAGAAATTTTTTTTCTAAGTCCTATGCACCTTACCTCCGGTTATCTCATGAAATCTACACAGAATCATAGGGAAGGAATTAGCCGGGGGCCAACAGATGAACTACACTTAGAAAAATTTCTAAGTCTTGAACGTTGGGCCCTCGACAAAATGTTCAGATGACTAAATAGGCCTGGTAGCCGAGGGCTACGGGAGGCACTATACTTAGAGCAATATATTCTAAGTCCTGACAGGCATTCAAAGAAAGACGAAGGCATACATTCAGAAAAGACGAGGGCATACATTCAAAGAAAAACAATCAAAAGGAAGGAAAAGTTAAAGTGTATATTACAAAATGGCCGAGGCCGAGAGCATACAAATATTCGTTACAACAAAATTGTTCAAAATGTGCTAAGTACAAATCAACTATTATCAGTCCCGGTGGCAGCCTCTTCCACGGGATTTGAAATGACCTTTGCGCCGGCCTCTGCTTCATCCCCCTCGGCCTCCTTCAAAAGCTCGGAATCCTCCAATTCTGGCCTTTCAACGCCCTCGGGAAGGGAGAATCTGATATCTGGTTGGAGGGGGGGAGGCCATATACCGCTGGGTCAAAGGCCTTCAGCTCGATCTTCAGATGTCGCGCAAGCCTTCTGTAAATCAAGGCCTGTGTGAAGAATTCCCCCCGGCGTAATAGTCTTCGCCCTTTCGAGCTAGCCACATCGCCCCAGGGCCTTTCACCCACCCATCGGCGGACCCCTCCACGACCGAGGCCACCCAATCTTTGTGGCCTTCTGCCTTCCACCCCCTCGGCCATGAAGGCAGCAACAGCACCAGCGGCGGCCTCTGCTTTGGCAGCCTCTGCGTCCTCAGAAGCTTTCCTTGCGGCCTCAGCAGCAGCCTTCTCCACCTCAGCTTTCTCCTTGGCCGCCTTCTCCGCTGCAGCCCTCGCCTGCTGAAGGTCCCCTTCCAGCTGGGCCATTTGCCTCATGGCCTCGGCGTTATCATGGATGAGTTTTCTCATTGACTCATCCTGTTGCGCCTTCTGGAGGCACCACTCGTCAAATCTTCTGGCATGCTCGCCGAGGGCTATGCAGGCCTGTTAACAACAACGACGTAAGGGGGTAAGGCTACAATCACACAACAGATAGGGGAAATAAACCACTATGCAAAAAGAAAAACGAAGGAGAAGAACTTACAGTAAGGGAGGACCGGAGGATTTTTGACTCGAGAGCTTCGTCATCAAGCTTCCCGAGGGCCTTCCTATCCAATGCAGGGGTAGCCCCGCCCAGGAACTCCCGAGGGTCTACGGTGCCATGTGTGATGGCAGCCCCCTTCAGCAGGGAGAACCGTATATCCTCCCGGGGCAAGCTTACCTCACCCCCCTGACCCGAGGGCAGATGAGAAGCAGTCGTTGCCATTTGGGCACAGGGCTCGGAAGTGGAGTGCTCATCCACGACCACCACTGGGGAGCCTTCTTCCCAGTGTCCCCCTTCTTCGGCCTCTCCCCCTCGGGGATTGAGGCTTTACCGGTTGCCTTCCTCTTGGCAGCCTCCTCCGAAGGCTCACTGCCTTTCTTCGAGAACTCCTCGAAGGGCCTCTGCTTACTGGGCTCCTTCTGGTCCGGGACTTTAGCCTTCTGCTTCTTGAGGGCGGCGAAGGCGTTGAGATCCATGTTGATACCTGCAAAAGAACGAGGGCGGTTAAGACCGGAGGAGAAAAGGTGCAACAAAAAAAATGTGTCTACGCCTAGCAAAAATATTCATAAGTCTAAGCATTGGATGCCCTCGACCCCTACCTCCTAAACCCCGGAGGCTCTGTCGAACATCGGGTACTTTTCATCTGTCTCCCCCAGGAAACGGTACTGTCGGAACCCAAGGGCGTACAGATCCCCTTTCTAGGTGCACTCCTTGATGGTGATGTTCTTGTTCCGACCCTCCGGGATCTTAGCCAGGATCCTACCATCTTTCTCGAGGGCGGCGCTCCTCCTCTTTTCATGGCGCCTGAACCGGTCGCTCAACTCCCTCAGGAATGGGCTCTCGGCCAGCTTCACATAGCACCATCGGTCTTTCCATCCTTTGTTGGAGGAAGGCGCTTCAGTAAACAACTTGAACAATGCCACCTGCTGCAAGTTAGCGAAGCCCTCGGCATTCGCATGCCCCCCGGCACAAGTTGAAGCTCTGGAAGAATAATTCCAGGCTAGGCGTTACCCCCGGGACTTGCAGAGGCGGAGGAAGCCCGCTATGTACGAATGGCTATTCGGCGTGAGCTGGCAAGGGAGCAATCCTACGTACCGAAGGTACTCACGCATAAAGGGGTGCAGGGGGAATCGGAGGCCCATAGACACCGACAGAATATGGACGGCTATACACCCCTCGGGAGCCCGGGAGAGGATATCATCAGCTCCCGGTGGCACTACCATCGCCGAGGGCCCCACATGGAGCTGAGTAACGTAGAGGTCCACCCCATCAGCCTTCGACCGTATGTCAAGGGCGGCGGTATTCAAGTAGGAATACCCCTCGGGCATGTCGACAGGCTTCCCCTGGTCGGCAACACTGCCTTTCTTCTTTGAAGCGGCTTCCCGGGGGCCACCCACAGAGGGACTGCATTCAGTGGCCGAGAGGTGCTGGCCTCACCAGCGTCGCGAGGGGGAGAACAACGACAGTAACCCTCGCGCTCTCTCCTTGCGCCTCTTCCTCAGCCGCTTGCCAGGTGAGGGCCAGCTCCTCATCCTCGCACTCTTGTTCGAAGCCCTCGGCTTCCACCTCAGCGACGAGGGCTCTCTGCAACTCCATCGCCACAACAACATCATGCGCCACCGAAGGCTGCTCACTGGAGGACTCCACATCGGAGACGGTTTCATCCTCAACCGAAGGGTCCCTCGAGATGTCCTGAGAATCGCTCTGGGACGACATCTTGGTACAGCTACAAGGACGGTACTGTACACCAAGGGTTGCCTACGGAATTCTAACTCATAATCTAAGGACACAGGGCACAACTAACTAAGAGAGGAGAAGAGCAGGTGGGAACTGACCTTGGAACGGGAATTAGATCGAGGGCAGATGTTTCTCTCTCTAGAAAAAATCCGGCAGAGCTTCGCTACAATGAAATCGCACAAAGAAAAGTGGCCTGGCCTTGGGGTATTTATAGGCGCCCAGATCTGGGCTTGGGCCTGAAAACCGGGCCTCCGGTACAAAATCATCATTTCCAACCGACGAGTTGCTCAATCGGTGACACCCGCCCACGGGCGGCCAACGAGCACGCACCACGTGGAAGCCCCCCTCCCAACGGCTATATTTTTGACGTTAGGTATTCCAATGGCTATATTTACAACGGCTATATTCTGGGAACCCCCGGCTATATTCAGCAGAACACTCCTTCATCAACCAAGAAACTAGCCTCGGGGCTTTCTACTTCACTCCACTTCATCAAGAGGAGCCCCCGGGTGCACTTACCCAGAGATGCTCCCGGTTTATGCCCCTCATACTACATAACAAATGCCTTCGGGCTCACTCCTTCAGAAGCCCACGGCTTCATAACTGGCAGACCCCTCGGGGATTCCCCCCTCAACACTTTGAGGACCAGGTAGCCCCCGGGGAGTACACCTCATTGACGGATAGCCTACGGCACATAGGTAACGAGAGCCCTCAGATACCCTCTTCACCAACTGATCAACAAACAGGGGACCCCCCGGTAACACTTCAACTACTACTCACATTCATCACGCCCTCGATCCCCAGATTGAGGGACTCCCCTTCGGCACCTCCAAGGATAACAACAGCAAGCCTCCGGCTAATCAACACACGCGCCCTCAGAACAAGGATAGCCTTCGGCATCAACATTGTACTCCATTTCAAACCAGGGCTTCACATTTTCGATTCATCGTTGGGGGAATTCGGTGCACTCTTTTTCCCTCATTAGGATTTTTTCCCACAGGGTTTTTCCTAATGAGGTTTTTAACGAGGCATCCCCCCAAAATGAAACGAAAAGCGTCAGCCTTCGGCCCAATACAGCAACATGATTACTCTACTCCTTTTCACCACTTTGCAAGTGCCTCAAGGAGTGGGGGACTGGAGAACCCCCTCGGGAAAAATCACAAAAATTGCAAACAGCAAACATGACCCCTCAAGTCCCGACATGTGGGTAACTGAGGGACTGCCCTCGGCAGAATAAACAAACAGCAAACTACTCACAACTCTACAAACTACAACGGAACAACGACAGAGGACAAACACAATTACTCCTTTTCCCTCAAGTACCTTTCGGCAAAAGGAGTGAGGGACTCCTGATGGAGTATATGGCCCGGGAACCCCCGGTCCACAGACTCCTACTACTCCAATAAAGGCCCAATAGGCCCAAGAAGCACAACAGGCCCAGATCACAACGCCCGGAGTACCAAGCGGCCCACAGTGCGCACTAGGGGTGCCTTCGGACCCTTGGCCGAAGGCTCCAATTCTCACAGGAGGGCCAAATCAGGAAACAAAGTTACTGGGAGAAAACAGCGAAAATCAGTAGCCCTCGGCACCTAGAGCCCTCGGCACTAAGGAGGTCCCCGGTACTCAGAGCCCTCGGCTAATCATCTACAGCCGAGGGCACCTTTTCCGACATAATATCCGCTCCACATGCGCATGGATCACCGTACCAAGTACGACGTCACATCCAACAGCCGCATTAAATGCGGCCACATGCGATTGCCAGCGCCAACCAGTTGAGGTGACCCCTCGGCCAACGGATGCTTGACACATGTCCCTGTCTGGCACTTATTGCTACTATAAATAGCACCCCATTCCCCCGTTGTAAACCACACTCAAAAGCCTTAACTTACATATTTAATACACTTTCTCTCTCTTACTTGCTCTGACTTCTCTCTAGTTACCCCCCGCAGTAACCCCTCGGATAGATACCCCCGGGTACACTTATCCATCATATATATAAGCTTGTTAGGTTGAAAACTCAAAAGGGCAACTTAAGCAAAATAAAAGCAAAAAGAAGAGTGAGTTGGTGAGAATTAAAAAGGAAAATGTGGGAAGCTGGGATGAAAACCCGAAAGGGCACCTAGGCAAAATGGGAGAATGAGAGAAAGTATTTCTTTTATATTTGCAGGATCCTAAGGGTACACATAAAGAGCAAAAGAAGAGGAACCCAATGATGCTGAAGACCTTTTATTCATGTGTTTTGATCATTGAAACATTTTTTTATGTTGACTTTCAAAAACACTTGTGAATGGTTGTGATTGCAACAATTGTTCGTTTGGAAACTCCATGGACAAGATTTGTTTTACTCGAGACGAGTAAAAGTTCAAGTGCGGGGGTGTTTGATAGGCACTAGTTGTTAGTGCCTAAGTATACATTTTTACTATCATTTGTAATATTTATTTACTAGTATTATGCAAGTTTGTAGTTGTTAGTTTGCATTTGATTGTAATCGTATTTTTGGCATTTTATTGTTTCTTGTAAGTTTTAGTTAGTTGAACTATAAGTTTAGGATAGGTTTGGATGCAAGAAGGATGGAAAAACCTGAGTTTCATGCAAAACTCGGTCGGGTATGGACTTTACCCGGCCGGGTATGAAGTGACAAAGGAAACTGCTGCAAAACTAGCAAATACCCGGTCGGGTAGGGAATACCCGACCGGGTATGAAGTAATTTCGGACCAAAGAATGTGCAGAAGACACAAAAACATGAGAAAATATTTGATTTGGTAAATACCCGGTCGGGTATGTCAAAATACCCGGCCGGGTATCCGGCTATAGGTCTTGAAAACACCTATAAATAACCCCATTTTCCTTCACTTTTAGATATCCAATTCCTTTATACATCTAAGCTCAGTCTAGAATAGTTCTTTCTTTATATTTTTCATCATGTTTAGTCTCCAAATGAGGAGCTAAACTCTTCCATCTTGGTTTTGCTACTTTGAAGCTTAATGAATTTGTAAGTTGTGAGTTATTTTCTTTAATCTTCTTCCTTTAATATTAATTCTTCCTTTAAAATACTATTTCTATATCAAAGTTGGGGAGTGTTACTAAGATGACAATTAGTTAACATCTTGACATTGGTTATAGTAATAGTTATTTCTTCCTCTATGTTAATATTGGGGAGTGTTACTAAAATGACAATTAGTTAACATCTTGATATTAATCATAGTAGGATTCATATTCTTTAATATTCCTCCTTGAGTATTAATTAATTCCTATTCATATTTCATGTTAATATTTTGAACATCACTTAAAGTATCAACTAGTTTTGTTTCTCATATTAATTATTACTAGAATCAATCGGTTAAACCAATAAACCGCTTGTGTTGAGGTTATCAATCTCAATCGTTTTCATCTTAAGTTTATTGCTACTATCAAGTTAATATACGACGCTTGTTCTATATTGACTCGATAGTTAGTTTTATTAATGAACACATCTCGTTATTAATAACTACCCTCGATGAACTGGATATTTTCCTCGATTGAGTATTCGAGAGGAAGATAGTTAAAGATATAACCGGGATCGACGAACATTTCATTAAGTGGATAAAAGCAAAACCAAACCTCCGTATCTATTAATTAAACCACATAAGTCGTTCATCTTAGTGTTAATTAAATTAAATTAAATCAAACATCAAAACCTCCCCCTTTGTTACTCATTATATAAAAGAAAAGTATTCCTTTCCCTGTGGATACGAACCTTACTTCGTTATACTACGTATAATCGTTGTATTGTAATTATTTTGAGTGCACCTCACGACAAGGGCACGTCACTTGGGCTTGGAGAGCACATGGGGTGAAGACAGATACTCTTTCAACTCGTCGAAGGCTACATGACACTCAGTAGTCCATTGGAAACCAGCTGTCTTTCTCATCACTTGGAAGAAGGGGAGTGCATTCTCTGCTGACTTGAAAAGGAAGCGGTTGAGGGCTGCCAGGCGGCCCGTCAACCTTTGGACTTCTTTCACATTGCGTGGGGGCTC